GGAGGGAACAAAGCAGAATAGCGCGGGATGCAAAGCTACTACAAATGACAAGTAATACAAAATTTAAGAATTGTTTTTTCTAGAATGATTCATTGAATATGTGTAGGCCACAGTTGGCCATGAAAAACTGAAACTGGGGAAGTAAAATTATGGATAAGTGAGGTCACAATATTTAGGTTAGGTTTTCCATTTTCAATATTACTACTTCAGTAAAATGACAGGAAAATTAAACATTAAGGCTTAAAATTTTTCAATTGCTATCAAGAGGCTACAACGTGTGGAGACACTGATGAAGAAACTCTTGTTACTTAGTCTAGAAGCACAGACACTGTATACTAGAAAACAGTAGTTACTCTCATCTTGAAAACCTATCATTGTGAGTTTAAAATGGAAAAGAAGAGAAAGAAAAAATATGAGAAAAGGAAAAAATGGAAACAAAGCTCTTGAAAATAGGGAAGGGTGGGGGTGGAAGGGAGGGAAGGGGGATGAGAAAAAACACAAGAACTAAGATATATCATGTACAGGTTCAAATTCCCAATGATGAATATGATCATAATGTATACCTAAAATGTACCAATACAGTTAATTTACAAAAATAAAATGGGAAACATGATGTGTAGTCAAATGAAAGCTCAAATGAAATATGAACAACTGTTTTTGAAATAATAGATTCTATTTTAGGAAATCCATGCTCCCCTGTCATCATGCTCTTTATCAACAACACAAACTGCATCTTCTCCAGCTTCCTGGTCACAGGCTTCCCAGGGCTGGATGCTGCACGCGTCGGGATCTCCGTACCCTTCTCCGCCATGTTCCTCATTACCTTGGTGGGCAATGTGACCATCATGACAGTTATTTGGAGGGAGCAGACCCTCCACGTGCCCATGTACCTCTTCCTGGCCATGCTAGCTGCCTCTGACCTGGGCCTGGCCCTCTCCACCTTCTCAACCACACTGCACATCCTCTGGCTGGATGCTCGAGAGCTGAGCTTCCCTGCTTGCTTCACCCAAATGTTCTTTATCCACACGTTTCAGGTATTTGAGTCTGCTGTTATTCTGGCCATGGCCTTTGACCGCTATGTGGCCATTTCACATCCACTTCACTATTCCTCCATCCTCACTCACAGTGTGATTGCTAAGATAACTCTGACTATTGGTGTTCGAACTTTGACATTACAGGTGCCTTTGCCTGTCCTCTTGAAGAGGCTGTGCTTCTGCCACTCCAATGTACTTTCTCATTCCTATTGCCTGCATCCTGACATAATAAAGCTCTCCTGCTCCGATACCAGGATCAATAGCATCTTTGGACTGTTTGTGGTGCTCTCCACCATGGGACTCGACTTCCTCCTCATTCTCTTCTCTTATGTGTTGATTCTGAAAACTGTGCTGAGCATTGCATCCCATGGTAGGTGCCTCAAGGCTCTCAACACCTGCATCTCGCACCTGTGTGCTGTGGTCCTCTTCTTCACCCCCATGATCTGCCTGTCTATGCTGCACCGCTTTGGCCCAAGGCTTCCCTCCCAAGTCTATGTGACCCTGGCCAACATGCACTTCCTCATTCCTCCTGTGATGAACCCCATCGTGTATGTGGTGAAAACCAAGCAGATTCGAGACAAAATCCTGAAACTTTTCTTTAAAAAAGAAACTGCAGAATAACAGGTTGCATTGAAGATATAAACCTTGGGAAAGTAATGTAGAAATAAGTCATCACTATTCCAACTCTTCCAACCGAAAAGACTTCTCTCTATATATTTACATGTACATAAAGGGAGAAACAAATAAAATAGCCCAAGATCTTTTTTTCTTCACACTCTCCATGGCTTTTTAAAGCTATAATTTTTGCTTAAATTTGTCATGCAAATTTCTGCATATTTGATATTTCATATTGACAATTAGTTTTTCTAAAACTTTGGAAGCCTTTGTATTTGTCTTGTTATTCCTTCATTCTTTAAATGATACATTTTTATTATTAGAATTTGTCACATATTTATTTACTTCTATATTAACAATTCCATTAAGTACATCTGCATCTAGGTTGAATATTTTTAAATATGCAAGCCTTTTTTCTGTCTTCAATTTTTTACTATGTTTTACTTTGGTTTTACTATTCTTATGGAGGTGGTTAGTACATTTAATCAAAAGTCAAAATAACAATAAAACAATCACTCTGATAATAAAAAATGTTAACAAAACCAAAAACTTATTTTTCAGTCTAAATTTTCTCTTATACAATAATGCTATGAACCATGATATCCTTGAACACGTTTAAAGAGTGTCCATGAATGGATATGGTAACCTCCATTTAAGTGTTGTACCAAGTATATGTGAACTGAGGCAGCATGTGGTGCCCCATCAATATGTATAATATTGATTTAACACTTATGTATTTATTCATCAATCCAAAATAAATTTATATCATAAATCAAAATAAGAGAACTCATTTATTTTACAAATTTGAAGAAGTTAAAACAAAAATAAATGAAGATTTTTGACTATTGAATGACTAAATTGACTTATTTTAACCTCTAGACTGAAATCATTCTGTTTTATACAGCATAGCTCTTATGACACTGCAAATGCAAATGTGTATTTGGCCAATTTCAATAAAATATGCTGTGTTAAAAAAATCGCAGTTATTCAAAGTTCTGTATTTTGTCCACATTCATATACCATCATAAGATATAAAAATTTTGCATTGCATCATGAATTTATTTCCCTATGTACCAAGAAAATTCATTGTTTTCAGTATTTTTTTTTTCAGAATTTACTACAACCTTTCTGTTTTCTAATTAACAATATTTTTATTGGCAAGCAAATTGGAGTATCTTTTCTCCAAAACATATTTTTTACACCACTGTATGATACTATGTGTGTTATTGGTCACTTTATATGTTGTAGGATACATGGGGAAAAAAAAGAAAAGATTAAAAAGTATTTCCTGGCTTACATTGTGACCTGGGTTGGGGAGGATACGAGAAGTTCTACAGCCCTCTGACTGCCTTGGGATGACAGATCGTCTTGATGTCTGTGGCAGGCCCAGATAGAGAAGTTAAAGATAACTTCAGAAGGCTGTTTGTTGTGCCCACAGTGTACGTGCTGCTGAGGTCCCTTGAGACTCTCAAACATTTGCTTGGTGTAAGAGTAGACAAGAGTAGCTAATCCTTTAGAAGCTTTAAGTGACCAGGATGATTTAGATAAGATGCACTAAGATTAACGGAGCACAGGTGGTTCTTTAGATGTTTTATGTACTCACAGATATAACTGGTGTTTAATTGACTAGCATTGTAAATTGTTAATGATTGATGAATCCAGCTGAAAAAATGCATAAAAGAAAAATAATAACAATAAACCTGGCCTTAACTCCTCATGGAGCTCTGCTCCCCTGTGCTCCTCATTTTATAAGTTTTGTCAGATACTTTCTTCAGGTTCCAGCCTCCCACAGAGGAGACCCCAACACTGGGTCATATTAGAAAAAGAGAATTTAGATTGAATATCTGGGCAGGGTTTTCCATTTCTCATTATTTGTCATCGGTGTTATTGCCTTTGTGCTCATCATCATCACTCATTTGTCACCATGGACATTGTACCTGTAGTGCTTTCCTTTACCCCAATAACACTGCTTCATTTATTTTCTTTGTTTCCTATTCATTTAAGTTTATTGGTACTTTTTAGGTATACAATATGACATTCGACACTGGGAGTTTTTACCTTTACATGATATATATTGGTTCTTTTTTTTTTTTTTTTTTCTGAAATCCCTGCCCTCTCGTCCACCTTCCGCCCCACCCTATTTAAAAACTTTGTTTTCATTTTTTTCATATTTTTTCCTTTCCCTTCTTTCCTTTCTCCTACCTCCCCTTTGAAACTTTTCTTCCTATTTCACATTATCTATTATACATTTTGGTCCTCATTTACACTTTCAGTTTCTAACACCAGAGAAACTATTTGGTATTTACACATGTGTGTCCTATTTATTTCACTTAAGAGTATGGCCTCCATTTAGCTGTAAATGTCTCTAGTTTACAATTCTTTATGGCTGAGTAGTACTCTATTTCATTAAAAAATAACATCTTTATTTAGTCACTAGCTGATGGGCAATTGGGTTAATTTCAAGATTTAGCTATTATAAACCATGATGCTGTAAACATCATGTGCTTTTACTGCTGAGGTATGATGCTTTTAATTTTTATTAAATTTCTATATTGACTATTGTATAGAAAACCCATCACAAAGAATTGTTAAAAATTGATTGATCAGAAAGTACTTTTAAAAATCACGGTCTCATGAAGATCTAAAAATAAATCTATGAAATGTTTTAGTGTATTCTCATTTAAGATAGAGTGGAAGCTGTTTAAAAGATAATCAGTGCTAAGGGAATAGATTTAAAGGGAATTGTTGAGGTCATGTTGATGTGTATAAAACAAAGACATGCCAAAATGAGTTGCAGATGAGAACATGATTGCTTCCTTTCCAGGAGTTTAATTTCTTAAAGATTTTGGTAGTGTATGTTTGCAATACATAGTGAATATGTTTATTTTGGGGGGTTGATACACATCTCACCTTGGTCCTTTCCACTTTCCCTTCCCCTGTCCTCCTTCCAGTCTTTCTGCATTCCTAGATCCTTCTTCCAAATCCACAAAATCTATCTCTCTTTTGCCTATCATCTGTCACTTATTTTACTCTTTCAATTATTTATAATTTGAATTTCTCATATAGGAGAAACTATATGATATTTAACTTTCTAAGTCTGTTTTATTGCACTTAGCATTATGGACTCAAGCTGAATCCATTTTCCTACAAATGACTCAAATTTATCCTTCTTTATGGCTGAGTAGAACTAAATCGTGTATATATTCTACATTTTCTTTATCCATATATCTGCTGATGGATGTAAATCCTGATTCCATGATTTAACTCTTATGGATTGCGATGCTATAAACAACAATGTTCATGTGTCATTGAAATATGATAACTTTTTCTCTTTTGACCTCCACTAGGTTTGAATGGAAAGTAATTTGAAACTATGCAGAGTAAGATATAATTTGCCCACAGTATAGAAAACCCTGTGAAATAATTTAAGACTATGAATTGAGCTAGAATGGATAATCCAGAGGAGTGGGGAGTAGACAATGCATAGATTTTCACCTAAACACACAAGAATCTGAGCTGCCTTTAGATGAAAAAAATCTCAAATCTCAAAATCAGTTTTATTAGATTTGGCCTGATTACTTACATGATTGCAAAGAAAGTATTAATTTATTACACAGACTTTAAAAATTTGACTTGTTGTAGGTTGTCATAAGAAATCTCAGATGAACTGGATGTGGTAGCACATTCCTATAATTCCAGCACTCCAGAGGCTGAGGCAGGAGGATTGCCATGAGTTTGAGACCAATGGGGCTATATAGTGAGTTCAAGGCCAGGCTGAACTACATAACAAGACCCTCTCTCTAATACCCAGAAAAAAAAAAGAAAAAGAAAAAGTTTCCTCAGATGAGGCTGTCTATCAGTTAGCACATATATGTCTGTCTGTGTAATATATGTGTATTTCAGTGTATTTCTCTTTTCTTTTGATTCCTCATTCACCCCAAGTTTCCTGGGCCATAATGAATTGTCTTTTCTTAACTTACGTGGATACCTGTAAATCCGAAGAGCTACCCTAGTTTCCCAAAATGCCTTTATAAGCAGTGCAATTCCTAAAGTCATCCTTAGTTTCTCAATTGCTTTTCTTAATATTTGATTAGATGAGAACCATTTCCAATTTTAAGCCAGGACAACTTTCCACACCAATTTTTCTAATTATGTTATGGTAAAAAGGAATTCTGACTCTTAATTATTTTATGCAAGTAACTACATTGAGGTGAAAATAATAGTATTTAATGATATTTTTCAAAATATGGAGGAATCTTGCTTAGGGAAAAAAGTATCATTAGAAATGTTTAATTCCATCTCATAAAAGCATTGATGTTGGAAATGATTTCTTGGCTATAACATTAAAAGTATAAGCACCTATGTGAAAAAATTGGATAATGTAAAATACAACTGCATACCAAATGAAATAATCAGCAGAAGGAAAAGAAGACATAAAAATAGTAAAACTAATTTGAAAATCGCACATCTAATACATGATTAATGTTCAAAATATGTATCCAACTCCTACATTTCAATTTCAAAAAGTCATATAACTATAAAAATGAAGATTTTCTGGGACTTTATTCCATATGAACAAAATAGCAGTACTTTCTACTTTCCTTACTATTGTTACTAAATATTACAGACAATATTACTTTGAGAATTCGTTAGTAGCTAATTCATATACCTGTGCTCTCAGATATTTGAATAATTGATTCTTCTTCAAGAAATCAATTCATTGTTAGAAAGAAAATTTTTCTCATATCACATCAGACTAATATAAGTTATAACTTTGAAGGTACATTAATTTTTGAAATTTTTATTATGATAATTTTAGATTAAAATACAGTTTTAAGAAATAATGCAAGGAGACATTATGCACTACTTATCAATTTTTTCTCAATGGTAAAATTTTGCAAAACTATAGTCCAGTATCAAAATCACAGTGTTGTTATAGATACAAATAATTATTTATATTTCATATTTTATTGGACTTATTTAAACACATGTTTACGTCTGCATAT